GATCTGCCAAAGGCTTACGGTTTAAATAGCAGCGTGTTGTGTCCAAACTCTAATTTGTAAGCTTTTTCATTGATTCCCAACAGAAGGAACAATTTTACAGCTGATTTCATATGAAATTAACTTAATTATAATTTTAATTACCTCGGTTATAATCACAGAACAGATAAACTTTGTTGAGCCTGAGTTCGTCTTTCGGAAAGCATCATAGTAGTTTGTTTTAATATCGCGTGGCAAATTTGTGCGACAGGAGCGTCCAAATACTCGACCGAAATAGACGTCACGCTCAGGGAAAGCAGTGACTACGCCCGTAACCTATCGCAGAAGCGGTGAGCAGATCTCAGATTTCGCCCGCAAAATGGAGCGTATGCAACCCGGCCCACCGAGGAGTTAATATAGTTGCATGTTGGGTTCGAACCTAACTTCCCGTATTCTTCCATCGTTTAACGCTACGCGAATTATTCAAATGCCGAGTTTATCTACAGGAAAGGCATCAAAGTTTGTATATATTGTGTTATTTGTTTTAAAATGTTTTCTCTGATAACTGAGGAGCCTAGAGAAAGTTATATGGAATATTCTGGGAAGATGCCAATTCCAGAGGGGAAATGGAAAACAACGAAATGAATTTCAAACAGAACCCGATTTTCTTAAATAAATTTTTTGATGAAGAGGCTTGTTTGAGGATCAAGATTGGGGGAGAGTATCCATGTGGGGAAAGTACGGCCTTATCAAAATATTAAGCTCTTACGGCCCAAAAAAGCAGAAAACCTTTGAAAACGAAAAATTTCACTGCAAATCTTCAGATTCTAATATCAAACCAAAATGGCCAAGAATGTTCAGAAATGAAAATGAGCATTCTTCCGTAAAAATGAGAAAACGTATTCAAAAACTAAGTCAATTACGTGCTTCACCAAAAACTGGTCGAAACAATTGTAATAACGAATAACTGTGGATAATGCAAATTCATAGCTTGGCTACCCTTTTGGGCACTAAAAGCTCCATCATATGGATTGCATTTTGCAAAAAGGAACCACTAGCATTGCAATGATGTTAAGATTGTGCAACTTTATCCTTTCCAATAAAATTGCGGAAATCGTGAAAAACTATGAAATTTAGATGGTAATTTTTGTCATGAATTCACAGTTTTTAGCGAGTAAAATAGAAACTTTTAATGGATAATCGGGTTTTTCCTCCAAGACAAAAGAAGTTGCACAATCTTAGCAATATTGCAATGCTAGTGGTTCCTTTTCGCAAAATGCAATCCATGTATCCTCAAAATTACCGACTTATCCGTCCTCTCCCTGCGTAGATACCCTAGATCGCGAAAAGCGGGATAAGGAGGATAGGAGTCCGGGAATCGGGAGCAGGCTTGGAAGGTGAAGGAAATTCCTGAGTTACGCCTCGGGGGCCCGACCCGGCCGGGCGCGGTGCGTCGCGCGGCGGAGGATGAGGAAGTTATTCGCGCGGCGCGGATGGCGGGAATGCCGAGCCGGAGCGGAGCCCAAGAAGGCTCCGGGGGATGCGCGCCCGCGGACCCGAGTCGCGTGCCGTTATCCCCCCCCCCCCCCCAACCCCAGCCTCCGTCGCGTCGCGGCGCCCGACTATGTGTCAATAGAACTCTTTCAAGGGAAATGCTCCAATTTTTATACATATTTCTCTCTTTCTTCCGTTTTAGTGTGATACTAAATAAATTAACTAATGAGAGTTCCTTGACCCAGTTATAAAAAAAACTCCGAACATTGACCCATGAGCTATATGGATTACATTTTGCAATAATAAGGAACTCTAAGGAAAATTACGCATCCCGCGTACTGTTATAATAAAGATGAAAAAGATGAAAAAGTATACCGAAACACGCATATTCCACAATATAAATAAATTCCAAATACAAATAAATATAATATAATAAATATAAATAAATTCCTAATTTCCTTGTTCAAAAATATGCGTGTTTCGGTATACTTTTTCATCTTTTTCAACTCTAAGGAAGAATATTTCTGGCTCTTCTATAAAAGCACCTTTCGGCATAGGGAAACCAATGGCAGAAACGTTGTTCCTAAAATGAGCCAGTAATAGTGGTTCCTTATTGCAAAATGCGGACCTTACAAATGAAACGAGCTTAATTCTTTAGTCTAAGTTCGTACCCGCGTTTTTTTCCGTCACTTATCGCTCGGAAAATTAAAGAAGCCCTTCTTCAAAATTCTCGCTCCTGATACGTTTTATTCGAAGAGTTTGAATTCGACTTCATTTTGAAATTAGGAACTACAATTTTTGGCTCAGTTTAGAAACAACGTATTTGCCATTAGTTTCCCTGTAGAGATAAGTGTTTTTATGTGTGAGCCAGTGATTGTAGTTTCCTAATTCCAAAATGTAGTCCAATCAGTATCATTACTTGAAGTTTTTAACGAATATACTTCACACAGAGAAGACAAATCAGGGGAGTTTTCAAAAAATGACGTTAACGTTGAAAAGATTACTCCTGGGGGATCTGCTGAAGAGTTACCTGATAATATAGTCCTGGTTCATGGTTCAATTAAACGCAATTTGCAATGGGCAAAGGACGTTATCTTTTTCAAGATAATATAGTGCGTCCTCTGGGGATGTGATAATATGACAAACAAAATTGTGACAAATTTCTCAATTGTGACAATTTTCTCAATTGTGACAATTTTCTCAATTGTGACAATTTTCTCAATTGTGACAATAGTGCTCCAAATTGCTAAAGGAGTCTAATTTTTCGATGATTTAAGAGAAAAACTATGGCTCCTGTTCGATTCATCTTCAACTGGGCATGAGAGAAGAATAAGAGGTTTTCCCTTAGGAGCACTCACGCATTTTCTGCGTCTGACGTCTAGGTCTTTCCGTCCGCTCCGTGAGCATCGGATTCTTTCGATTCTGGAGCGCTCCGAGAAGGAATAAATTAACCGAATTTTTACGCCAACATTTTACAATATGAGTTTTTAATTGTAGCGTTTTATTATTTTCTTCCTAAAATGGGCCGATTTTTATTCCTGCCCAGCCGCCGCCTTGGCTTAATGACGGACGCGCTCCTTTGCCGTCTTGGGACCTCCCGATTTCAGCCGAGAATGGATTTTGGTGCGGATAATCTACACGTTGCCGCGCGTCAAATTTCTAACCACGAATGAAAATTTAAGTCCAAACTCATGATTCTCTATAGGATTAGATGCATGAGCGACATTAAAACCGAAAGATAATTGGGACCTTCTTTGAAAAATACGGCACAAAGGTTTCATCCTACTATTCAAATTGAGCAATATCGTAAATAATAATTTGTGGCGAACCTAAAAATAAACCTTATTATGACTTGTTTCCAGGGAGGAATCGGTTTCTGTTAGACAGGCGAAAGTCCAATAACTCGCGAGCCCTGGCTTTCATTGATCACGTCTTACACTAGGGCTCATGAGTTTTTGGACTTACAATCGTCTAACAGAAACTGATTCAATTGAGGATGAGAACTGTAGTTTTTGGCAAAAAACTACATACATATGAGTCGCTTTACAGCACTCCCACGCGCTCTACGACTACTAACCTCCACTGCTGTCTTTCAAACTTTCAAAGTGTCTCTCAAACTTGCTGTCTTTCAAATCTTGGGGCATTGAGCACCTTAACATTTCTGCTTCAATCCCCTCCCTCCACCAACCTTTCATTGGGCGCTCTCTGCGTCTTCTCCCAGTAAAATTTTGGCAAAAATCTACTGTCCATAAAATTTGACAAGGAAGTACACATGCATGCATGTGTATGCACAATCGTCTCTCAAAGTTTAAAATTTCACTAAAAATGCTAACCATCCCGTTCCCACTACTTAACTTTTCCGGAAAACTTTGATCCATTAGCAAGGCAGTTTGGATTGGTTAGTTGGATTATCTGCAACGGAGGCAATTCGATGGAATTTAATTAAAAATGTAGATCTGACAACGGTGCGTTTACGTGCGTTCATTATTCAGCAGAAGCTACTCTCGGGATATTTAGTCGGGAGCATTTGAATTCGTCTCGTAGGACGGGATCGAGGAGGTCGAGCGGTGGCCGGCGAGTGGCGAACCCTGGTAATTCCCTTTAATTAATGTGGTTTGATGAAGGAGATCAAATGGACGGTAATTGCGGACGCAGGACGCATGCGCACATGCCGGCCACCTAACCTCATCACCACCACCTGATTCCCTTTTACTCCTTACTCCGGTATTTTCCTCTAATTCGTCCTCAACTCCTATCCGCTTTTCACCCCTCTGGATTGATGGCGAAAGACTGATTTGTTGGATACGTCATTCTTGTGAAGTTAGATGGTACAAAGTTCAATGGATAATTTGCAGGTGTGTGAAATTTGATGAATTTCGTGTTCAAGTGGGAAACTACTGAGTGAACTGAACACGAGGATACCCTCGGTTCATAAATTGTGCAAGTATTGGAGGAGCTATGGCAAAATGGACTGCGTTTAGCATAAAGGAACCAAGTCATATCAGCTATTATTGCCTCAAACTGGACGATTCAATTGTTTGCAAGAAAACGTTGGCACGGATTCCTTTGAGGATGTTACGGACTTTGCCTGATCGTACTATGCAAAAAATTCACTGAAATCTGCACAGAAATCCGCACAACCGTTTTCTTACAAAAATTGAATCGTCCAGTTAAATTTGTCAATTGCTGATGTGGCTTCGTTCCTTTCTGCTTAACGCGGTCCAAATGATCTAATCTGCTATAATACATGAGTTTAAATGGGAAATGCCGCCAGATGAAGTCACTAGGCAGAGCATTTTTTTAAATTTAAAACTACTTTCATACTACTTCCCACGCCCGAAAAAAATGATGAACAAAAACCTCGAAATCAGCTCTATTAGCACAATCGGTTGAAGCAATACAATTTGCGCGAAAAACTCTCCATTAAGAAGGATAAAAAAAGGAGATAAAAAAGGACAGATATGTTTCAAGTCCCTAAAAATGGAAGTGCTGTAAAGCGAGTAACTATTTCAGATTTTTGAATTACTTACTTGGTGGTCGTCCATGGCACTGGCAAGTGCGTTTTGTAAAACTAGCTGGTCCTCCAACATGGGATGCTGTACACCTCGTATACTCCCGTATTCACTACGATTCCTTCCCCCATCGTAAGGGAACCCCGTATGCATGTTCCCCTGAAAAAGTAAGAAAAGTATAACATTAGGATATGACGCAGGACTCGTTTCTGAAGAAGAAAAAAAAAGTACATACAATGATATTCTTTAAAAAAACATAGCAGAAGTGTCGTTCTACGAATAATAAATGCAGTCCCGTAAATTGTAAACAGGGTGTCTAGTATTTTTTAATTTTGAACAATTCTGACACTTTACTGATTTTTCCTGATTTTTTATAAAAATTCCTAATTTTTTCATTTCGAAAATTCCTGATATTTTCCTGATTTTTCTCGACTCCTGGCACGGTAGGCAAAAAGCAGTAAGACTTTCTCCGCTGAGGAGAATCGCGTAAGCGAAATCCCTGATAAAACGTTCAATTTTTCCGATTTTCCTGATATTTTCCTGATCGACCAAAATTCCTGATATTTTCCGGTTTTTCCTTATGCTAGAAACCCTGGTAAAGTAAAAAGTAATACAACTTTCTGTCAATGCCTTTGATGTAATGTCGTGTCGTGACAAACCGAGGCGTTAGTTACGGCAAAACACGAGTATAAGCATTCAGAAAGGAGCTGCCGGAGGTATTATCTGCCTCAAAGCCGGAAGAGGCGAGTCGAGGAGGGGCACAAATCAATCCACCCTTCGATTTCACCCTCAATTTACAAGCTCACCGTGTAGATGGAATGCCGCCTGCTTTTCTCCCTCGTAAATATTCTGCCTCTCATTTTTTGCTCTTTTTCGCATTTCCTAGTAACGACGCTGAGCCACAGTATGTCAAATTAAGGGATTTGATGGGGAAGTGTTTCTAAACTCTCTCATTTTTAGTCGCATTTCCAGTTCATCCATAAAATTGATCACGAGACTTACGTTTTTACAGTTCATTTCTCTCAAAATAATATAAGGAAATCATCACAATGAATGGTTTATGAATTTTATCTCCAAATACTCGCATTCTTTTCAGCCGAAATTTACTTTGAAAGGAAGAGCCCATCAATGTAATTGCTGTACCTTAACCTCAATTGCTTACTTCGTAAGGAAAATAGAATTCTCAAAAACCAATTTACCAATTAATTGATGATCGGAAGATAAATAAAGCTATCTTTTCAACTAAATCTTCCTCAATTTATTACATTTAATCGATTCCATCGACAGCAATTATACAGATGATATTAACAACATAGATTGATCATTTCCTACGAAATTTATCCTCAGAAAGTTAAATGCCAAAATGTGGGTATCAATCTTTCGCGTGTTGCAAAATAATTGAATGGATGAGTTGATTGACTATGTTTAATTCATCGACATGGCAACGAAAAGCGAAGTTGAGGAGGATGCAAATTATGAGGAACCGATGGCGGTTTCGAAGGGAATCTTGAGCTAATATTTAAAGAATGCCAATAATGCGGGCAAATCAGCAGCGTCTTATTAATTTGTTCCACCATATCTTGAGTCTGTAGATTATTAATATCCTTGGAATATTCCTTCGGTTTTTTCAGAGAAATTCTTAGCGAACCGGCACAAGTGGGTTCGTACACCGTTGCCTCGTTTCAGAAAAGAACCGATTTTTCGTGCACGGGTAAATTTTTGAAATTATTTTTTCGTAAATATTTTTTATCGTAAGCATTTTATGTATCCTTGACAATAGTTTTGCCCGCATCTGGGTTTTTTTTGTGCAATGAATGCATTCATAGTTACAGGTAAGTGTCGTGATCAAAAACTAAGATTTTTGGTCATTTCTGGCTGAATTATTCGGGTTGCCCCTTGCCTCTAGTAATCGTTCAGTTTTTTTCCAATAGGATTTTTGATTGGGGGGAGGGGGATTACTCCTAGCCATTAGAAAAAATAGATAACTTACACAATTTCTAAGATTGTCGCGTGAAATGTAAAATTTTAAAAGAGGGGCTTAAATTCAAGAAAAAGAGACCGCCCTAAAGTGCATTTACAGGCCTATGAAGAGACGTACTAGTTCCAAATCTTTTTGAGTCTCATTGAACGACATTACTTTTACACAAACTAATTTCGGTAGATACACGGGTCGTAAGACAGTATGTTGGAATTACTTGACATTACTTTTAAATGGAACCATCAAAGATTTTACTTGTGATTCATGGTGATAACTTTTATTTTTATTCAAATCCCTACGCAGAGATTATCAAATTATAAGTCCTTTGAAATGAAAGTTATAGGCTGTATCTATAAAATCATTATTTTAAGAGTGCGAGCGTGATTTACTTCAAACAAGTCGTTGTCCAGTGGTCGAATGAGGATTTTTTGAGAACTGACAAAGAGGGAGGCGAAGAAATAGTAAAAAGCAGTGAAACTGCCGATCGTAACCAGCAAAGTTGAATTGAAGGGGGAGAATATTACATTCCTCATGAGTAAGGATGCGATCGAGAATTTTACGAACTTTCATAACTTTGCTTGGATGGCCCGATACTGACCGCGCAGTTTTTAATACTTCAACCAAAAACTCGACCATATAAAAAAAGGACTTGCTTCATTTCTAAGAAATGTTCCGATCTTAACTGACGATAAAATTCTTTTCGAGATTAGCAACACGCATTTAAGGTGAGAATTTACGCAGAAAAAAAGTTAAATAATTATGGTGCCGATCGATACCCAGACAGAACAAATATATAAGGCAAACAACTTTTACGGTGAACGAGAGTGTCTGTTAAAGGAAGACGAATCGTTTAAATTTAATGACTTGAAGGATTTTGCAAGGCAGTGTGTAAATTAGCCTCCGAAAGAACGTAAAACTGCGTGTAAGCATACTAACTCAGAAGTTATGTACTCGCAAAGGGATTTTTTCTCCTTTTTAAAATTTCTGAAAATGTCGAAGCTTGATTTACACGTCTCGCATTCTTGACATTCGCAACTTCGAAGTTGTGCAACTTCATAAAATGATTTGACTCGTAATTTCATCATCCTACCAAAAATCTGCATCACTTTTTGGACCCGTACAAAAAATATTTCCGTTTGGAATAATATTTTGTTCCATCGCTGCTCTAAGAAAAGGCTCTCTCCTTGCCTTTGCATCTGCCTAAGTTCTACGTGTTACAGAGCTCAATACAAAGTGTGGCTACGTCTTCATGTCAAGAGGGCGACGTGGGTAAAAAGGTAATTTGCCTCCTAAGTACAACCCCTTCCGCGAAATTATGTCTACTCATCATACCTTTTTTTAACATTGGCGGATCCAGAAAGTTAGCAATATTGTTTTTCTCAAAAAAAACCNCAACAGTCTGTTAGACGGGACCGAGACGCATCTTTAGACACCAAAATTTCTGAAATCCGTCGCTCCGTTGCTTTGAAAAGTTTACTGAACCGCAACTAAAAACCCAAATAAGCCAAGTTCGTGTAACTATGGTGTCGTTGCCTCGACCGGACTGTGCTGTGTTGCCAATTGTTGGAGGATAGGTTACTTGCCCGGTGGTGGCTACCGCCACTCATGATGTGAACCTATGAAAATCATCGATTCATGGTGGGACCAGGTGCTCCGACAAGAATCGATCCTTCAAGGTAGGCTTAAATGGATTGCATTTTGCAAAAAGGAACCACTAGCATTGCAATATTGCTAAGATTGTGCAACTTCTTTTGTCTTGGAGGGAAAACCCGATTATCCCTTAATAGTTTCTATATTACTCGCTAAAAACTGTAAATTTAAGAAAAAAATTACCATCTAAATTTCATAGTTTTTCACCATTTCCGCAATTTTATTACAAAGGATGAAGTTGCACAATCTTAGCATTATTGCAATGCCAGTGGTTCCTTTTTGCAAAATGCAACCCAAATGGCAGGAATCCGGTGTTGCCAAATTGCTGGACCCGCTTCTGCCCCTTACAGCTACCACTACTAATAATCCGCTCTTATAGCGCTTCTGTGCGCTCTGCAACACCCAACCGCCACTGACAGCGATCTTGCCATAGCTCCTCCGGCAGATCTCATCTCCTCGTTTCCTGACTTATTCCCCGTTGCCCTGAATGGCAAAATTGTCAAAATGTGTGTTGCTTACCACGTGTAGGGGGTCGGACTCGGACCTGCGGAGGACGTCGTGTCTCTGTCCGGCGGAGACGGCGGCGGCGGCGGTGAGCTGGTTGAAGTGGGACTGGTGGAGGGAGTTGAGGGAGTAGGGGTCGTAGGGGTCCATGGCCGCGGGGGAGGCGGCGCTCTGTTGGTGCGGCGTGAACGGCGGCGGGAAATACGGCGGCTGGAAGTCCTGGTGCCCCATCGAGGCGCCGCCGGCCGCGTTCGTCGGCGTCGTGTTCCGGTGGTGGTGATGGTGGTGGTGGTGGTGCGACGGGCTGAACGGCGAGCTCCCGCCGCCCCCGATCCCGCCCGAGGAGTTGATCGACCCGATGCCGCCATGCCCCGTTGCACGGTCCTGAAATCAGAAAAATCAAAATCGTAAGTACATGGAAAAGAAAAAGAAAGAAGTGGCGGTTGGGCGTTGCAGAGCGCCAGAGAGCGCTGTGAGAGTGGCTCTTAATATATATAAAAGAAAAGGAAACGTGCAAACTTTTGATCAGCTGGAACCTCCGCGGGGACAACTGCCGGCCTTAGAGGTCGGAAGAGGGTTGCAGGATTCGGAGCCGGTGTCCGAGCCCATTCGCGTGCTGTTGAACACCGATCATGCCTCGATCCTCACCCTGCCGGCGAATCAGCGGGCCAATTGATAGACAAAACTATAGACAAGGAAGTCAAACTGAAAATAAAGCGATCCTATGGGTGGAAACGGATGGTTGGAATTGACAAAGGAGGTAGGTAGTAGACTATCTAACGGCAGCCCCCGAGGGCCCCTATAATTAGTCTATCATTTTCTCTCTTAGTCTATAGGAACTACGCAATTCAACCCACACGTTCGATATACATACACCCTAAGTCTTCCTTTGGCTATCGTTATGTCTATTTTCGATAATCAGCCCGCTTATTGGCTATGTCGAATCGGGGTCCCCGGTGGAGTCAGGGGCAATAGTTGTAACTGGCATTTCATGCCCGGTATCGAAGAAAAAGAACACCTCATTTGATTTTTCAAAGGACTGAACAGATCTCTCAGCCTTCAGTTCAATGTTTTATTCATGATCTACTGACGCAACATGGGTGGAACAGAGGAGCAAGGGGAAGCTGCCCCCTTAGATATCTACTTGTCCCCTAAAAAATGCGAAGAATATTGCTAAAAGAGATTGACATATTTTTTCATCTTTTAGACAGTATTCTTAACAATCCCTTGGTTAGAACAGCTCAAAAATGCTTCGGAGGTGACCCAATTTTCCAAGCTTTTCCCGAGAAAGTCCTCACGATGGTCCCTTATGATAAGGGCCTTATCCCGAGAACAGTCACATGGTCACCACATTCTGAATTTCTGCGCTTCTACATGTCGTAAATTTCGAGTGATAAGTTTACATTTTGTTTTCAGTTCTAGTTTAGCCACACCAATATCAGATCTGTAACATGGACATCCCAACGTGTCACCAAGACCGGGAGATGAAGACGAGTCATGGGTGACAAATTGAGCCATCACCATGGCGAGTACCGCAACGCCAATAAGAGGATGACTCATCATGTTTTTACTCCTCGGAATTAGCTTCTTGGTAGCACGAACCCGTGGTCCATCAGGCTATGGATGGACGATCCATTAGTGCTCGCATGCGTGTATTTTGATCATCGAATATCGAGCTCATCGTGCTAAAATCAATCTTCGTTCCCTCGCCGGAGAGCTCATGCTTCCCTCCACTACTTTCTAAAATTCCTTGGGAGAGGAACGCAGGTCAAGACTGGATGGTGCTGAGAAAAAACACCGTATGAGTATCCGAATGCTGCCAAGCCTCTTTTCAAAAATTCTTCTTTTTTAAAAAGAATAAAAGAAAAAAAATTACAGGTATTTCAAGGACGGAAGGCTGTCAAAAAATTTACTTGATAAAGTTTCTTCTGCGAGGGGTTGAAGAGGACATCACGGTAATGAGTGGTGACCGAGGGTCTTGCAAGAGATGAGGAAATGCCAACTCCTTGAGGGTCAATGAGAGTTGGGTGTCGCAAAACGTCTGAGAGCGCTGTGGAAGAAGGGTTCATGTATGTATAAATACTTTCCCTTACACATTAGAAGTACCATTTTTAGAAAAATTCCACGAACTCTATGGAAAATGTCTATTTAATCAGAAATGTAACGCTGCAATTTTTTTTTTATTGAAGAAAAAAGGAAATTCTAGGACGAAACAATTTTCAATTAATTTGAATTTTAGATGTCAGGGATGGAAAGAAGGCGGAGAGACAGTGCCAGTGCAAAGAGACCTGGGTCATTCTCATTCTCTCAGGATCATACTCTCCTCAGGTCTTGCGGCATTGACTAAGATTGGCTCGTGGATATCAGGAACCCACACCTTAAAATTTAAATTTTTCTGAGAGTCATTCATTTATAAAAATGAATGTAAAAACAAACAATTGTACTGATTCGTTTAAGCCCATTGCCCGTGATATTGATGATGACTGGAAAAAGGGACGCATGAAACATTGAAACATTCAGAAGTGATATATGCACTCCTCTAGGATTATACAATAGTTATCTGGAGTGAAGAAAGCTCTACTCCGAGTTCATAAACTACACGTTAAAATGGGCAGGCACTCTGGACCGCCCGACATTCACAGCCCATATTCAACGAGACACGCTTTTGACGACATGCGGTTAACATAAGAATGCCATTATTTTCGCAAATGTAGGTTAGGGACGTGTGACGCTTTGCAAAAGGCTTCGGTTTCGCGCTTTTTTGCTGTGTGCTTTGAAACGATTTAAATTTTAAAATTATGCTGCACTGAAAAAATTTGCAGATGGGTGGAGCTTTGAGACTTCGATGAACATTTGAGGGTCACTTATCGTGACGTCAGTTTGTCATACTGAGATAGCGAGATACTGAGTTTATGATACTGAGTTATGTTAACGATTTACACACAATATTTGCAATTTCATTCAATTCAAAATTCTGGGTATCCGTATTTTCTATGCAATTTGAAAGAATTGGGAAAAATTAAGGAGCTGACAATAACATGTAGTTTAATTTATTTTATTGTCATTGGACAACTTACAGGACTTATTACGGGAAAGTGCTACCTACTTTCCATACGGAGAAAGAAAACTTCCCTTAATCCGAATCTAATAAGGGTAAAAACTGTTGCGATCAGCAATCTGCTGAAAAGGGGTGACGAGGGGGAAGAGAGGGAAGTGGAAGGGAAACACAGGAAAAATGAGTGAGAGACCAGCGTCTCAAGGCACGCCAAAACTGATACTCTTCCAACTGGCAATGCACGCAGTGATGTGAGGCTGTTAATCTACAATTCGTTAAGCTGCTTTTGGCAAGGCTCATACTGACCGCGTGAGATGTTACTCAGGAACGGGGTGATGCGTGATGGTCATTTCCGAGGAGGTTCCGACCCACTCTTGCCAAATCCATCGATAATAATGAGTGAAATCTACCGGTGTGGTCTTCTTAAAAATGGAAAAAATTTCCGGCTGTAAAATTGTCAGTTTCATTCACACCTCGCCACTACTTCGGACTAGTGCGACAATGCCTCGAATTTCTTCAAAATTGACGAAATAGACCGACTCTTGAATTCAGGGGGATCGCCTGACCTCCCCTCAACACGGAGAAAAAAACTTCGTACATGGGACCCGAAGTTGAGGTCATATGGATCTCTGAAGTTTTCTGATCACGCATCCGAAAACTTGAGATCAAGCTGCCGAAGTTCGGATTAGACATCGAGGCACTTCGGTATGTACCGGAGTACTTCAGATGTGTCACCCGAACCCTTCGATATATATCGAAATACTTCAGATGTCTGACCCGAATTCGGCAGCTGCGAACCTCAAGTTTTCAGGTACGTGATCCGAAAACTTCAGAGATCCATATGACCTCAACTTCGGGTCCCATGCACAAAGTTTTTTTCTCCGTGAATGGCGCCCACGCACCATCCCCCAGAGGCACTCATAGTTTTATTTTTTCTTTAACAAAATTGACTTTTTAATTCCTATTTTTGCTTAAAAACTACAATTGCAGCTTCTCTAATCTTAATTTTTACACAGACTCTTCTCTTCGCTAATCCAACAGCTTTCTTGACTGGATGCAGCGTTTGGATTCGCGTGAGGAGGGCCCCGGTCCGCGTTGGCGACGGCCGAGTCAAAACATGAACAGCGCAGCGTCCCGAAGAGCGGTGCCCGGGTGATGCAAGCGATGCACGGTATCGGTGCCCAGTTTTATGACACGAGTCCGAGTCGGGGCTCAGGGCACAGGGCGCCCGCCAAGCCAAGTGCTCACATACTTTCATGCACCCACCGAAGCCGGTGTCGTAGCTCCTCGCAACCTCTCCTTGCCAAATCGACGCCCATCCAAGTTTCCATCGAGAGACAAACCTCAAATTCTGGGTTCGCACGGTGTTATTCGCCTTCAATTCTTGTGGTAGGCCAGAGAACATGCTTTGTGCAGTGATAGCTATCAATTCGAGGATTTCTGGTGTTAAGTTGCCTACAAATCTTGCCTCTTTGAAAATTACGCTAAATTTTACGACACCAGACGAATTTTCCTCCGAGAGACAAACCGAAAAATTCTGGCTCCGCACGAAGCTATTTCGCCTTCGATTTTTGAGGTAGGCCACAAAACATGCTTGCAACAATAGCAATCTATTCGAGGATCTCTGTGCCGAGTTGCCTGCGAATCTTGTCTCTTACAAAATTATGCTAAACTTTACCAGATACCAGACGATTTTTCCTCCGAGAGACAAACCTTAAATTCTGCGTTCGCGTGGTGCTATTTCGCCTTCAATTTTTAAGGTAGGCAAGAAAACATGCTTCGTGCGTATTTATCTTATCGCGAATCTCTCTGTTGAGTTGCCTACAAATCTTGCCTCTCAGAATATTATGCCGAACGGATGTCCCTGCCTGCGGTCAACCTAACTAAATGAAAATACAGTGCAGCTGTCGGTCAGATCTCCGAACAAAGTAATTAAATGTAGATCTTGGCCAATATTCTTCCAATTTTTCATAACTCTGCAATTTTTCCCAAGTTTTTCTTCTCGATACGCCACAGGACCTCTCATGAATGACTGAAGCCCCCGGTGGCCTTACTTGCTATCGACGGAGTTCAGGTTGGCAATGTCGCTTTGGCTGGCGGGCAGTTCTGCCAACGGTTGAGCGTCAGCGTTTTAAATACCGGACTGTCATCACGCGATAAACAAGGTGTCAGGCGCGACTCGGGGACCGGGTGCCGGGCCCGGACGCACCGGTGAGAAAAAATTAAAAGCGTTTATGAAGCTTAAACAACGAGCCGGGTCTTAAATCATGGGCTCGTCGCCACGGCGTCGTAACGGTAACGGTGCTCGCCTTGATCGCCCCTTCGATTC